TGATTTACTAGGAAAAAACTGACCCACTTCACACAACATGGTGCAACTGGCTGAAACAGCTTCAGGATTACTGAGAAAGCTACAAAGCAGCCTGGATTTCAACTTTAAAAGATGCTCCATATTTCTGCAGACTACTCAGTTCCTAGAGTCCTCCTACATCATTGTTCAAACAGTACCCATAGATGGCAAGTGCATCGACTTTGACACCGAGATACTAATCCAAAAGCCTCAATCATAGATTTTTCTTTCTTTAAATATTAAAGTAATTCAAATATTTAAGTACTGCTATACTGAAATATTTAAATATTGCTATACTGTTTTTTTTTTAAGTATATTTGATTACAGTTTCACCTCTTTCACTTTAGACTCCTGAAATGTTAAGGGCAAACTGATAATTAATTTTCACTTGGAGGAAAAATACTTTATCACATGCAGGTTTTATTAAAGAAAAAACAAACACACACACGCACACAAAACCCCAAAGCAAAGCACCTGGAGCAATGCTGTTTCTACATATGGTGAGATGGAGGCAGCTGAAAAATTAACTGTTTTTTTTGCTGGTGAATAAAGGTGTTGCTGCGACATTTTTGGGAGTATTTTGCATTTGGGAATGCACTAAGGAATGTAGGATTATCCATGGATAAGCCAGCAGCCAGCCAGCTATTCAAATGACGGCTGCTGACCAGAAGTGGCCTTGCAGGCTTCACCCTCTCATTCCCTTTCCAAACAAAAGGAAGGACTTGGCGGAGTTGCTCCTGACAAGCAGGGAATCCCCGGGGCTCCCGGCCGGCCCCATGGTTATAAACCTGCTAACTTGAAGTAGCTTGTCATCCACTAAAATCAAAATAAACAAGAAAAAAAGGTGTCAGCGCTAGGTTTTGTAGAGCAAAATGCAATGCTCATTGCAAGTTTATCAAATATTCCAGAGTTATTTTTGGAGGGAGGAAGAGGGCGAAGAGGAGGGGGAGAAAGGGATGAAAACAGAGATGTAGAGTTGAGCACTAAAAAGCAAGTTGGTAGTTTTAAACCCTTGCTTTAGGGTTTATAGCAGGACCAAAAAATCACTCCGGGCTGAAATTTACTATCCTAGGCCTGAAACAATTAAAAACAAAGTCAAAATACAGCAGAAACAAACAAACAAACTCAAAACAGTAGTTTCAGATAATATTGGCACTCCTTAAATGTAAAAGTGGTTTTATTTTATTTTTTAAGCCTGAGAATCATTATTAAGAAATATTTACTTAACCAAAACTGGGACCAGGTTCTTTTAATAATGATTTGCCAATAAGTTGCTATCACCAAATCTTTTTCAAGGCTTTTCAGAATGAAGCGATACCATCATTTCCAAAGGAATGTTAATGCTGTGACTTAACCCCAAAAGCCAGGAAATTAGGAGTGGAAACTTCATCTGCAAGCCACAGAGATGCATTAAAAATGTTTAACAACTTAACAGCACATGTTAAAGCTGCAATATCAGCCCCATTCTTGTCCATAACTAGACTTCATTAGCTTTGTGGGTTTCAAATTTACCTTTAAGATTAAATTAGAGACTTAATTCAGCACTCCTTAAATGAGGAAGCGTTTCAGTGTACGTAGAATGCTAATGCCTTTCCCAAGGAAGTCAGGGGCTGGTGTTACTGTTACTGCATTTCTCTACCACCCTACGGATTTTGGATTCCTGATGGAAGCCAATTCTTCTGCTGAGCCCTGCCTGCAAATTCTAACAAGCACGTTTAAGCCTACTAAACACAGCCTCCCAGGAGATGCTATAGTTAAAACAAAGTCACATGATTTAAAATAGGAAATTCTGCAATTATTAGAGGATGTAGGTCTTCCCCCTGAGGGAAAAGCGGGGATGCAGAGAAAACTAACTGATGCATTTCTGCTTCCCACCAACTTCACCAAAGGGCCATTTTGGGGGCCTAACCCATAGGGAGCTTGCAGATAAACACACATCCACCTCATTACCTGAGAAGGGCCCTGAAGAGCAGCCTTCTCTACAGACTTCTCCTTCTTCTACGTGAATAAATCTCATTTGCAGAGGGGCAGGTGCTGAACACATGCACATGTGCAGCATTTGCAGCATGTTAGGGGTGGCAGCCTGGAAGCTGCTCACCCCCAGCTCAGCACTTGGCCTGCACTCCCTTGGCACTCATTTTTCCTACAGAAACTTAACAAACAGGCTCATTGGCCAAACCACCTTCAGCTGCTTCTTACCAAATTTCACAAGCTGAGCAGGCTCGAGTCTGGTCAATGCTCAGATGGGAGATGATTATATGAAGTTAGGCTTTGCTGAAAAGTGACAACAGTGGCTCTACAGCACCAGGAAAGGGCAGGGCTCAGCTTCAAGGAGTGCCAGAGATGCCTGGCACTCAGGCAGCTGCTCGTCTCACCCAAGGCAGCGTGCTCAGAAGGACCACACGGGAACTGGGAATTACAATAAAGACTTAATATCAACCCTCACTGCATCCTTCTAGACAACCTAAGGAGAAACAGTGTTTTTGGTTTCTGGAATCAGCTCAACCCAGTTGTTCACCTGTATTCAAGCAGTTTGCTAGGGGCACAAATCGCCTCGCTAGTGGTATTGCCATAAACATTTGCACATCAAGATTTCCCTTCAGGGAAAACTACATACGTGCTGCTGTCTGAAATCAACCTGTTGGCTCTCCTGGGCTCCCCTGCAGGCAGTGCAGAGGGAAAGAAAGAAACTGAGCCTCAACATGACTCAGAGCACCTCTTGTGGGTATGTTATAACCATCAAGGAGAACAAAATCCCATGCCAAGCAAACACTGGCAGTATTTCTGTAGTTATCAGAAGAATCTCAGCACTTATTTTAGATCCAGGAAAGCTTTTAGGATGACAAATATGGAAATTCTGGGGTGAGGCCGCTGAAACGTAACTCAGTTGTGAGTTAATATAACAAAATTCTCCAAGAAAGAAGATCTGTTTTATATATGATTTTTGCTACTTGGCTATTACAAACTCTGATCTTGGAATACAGCTTTGAATGTGGAACTTGGAACAGAGATTTCAGCATGTGGAATGGGGAAGCTGGTATTATTTATAGCCTGGCAAGCGGGAGTCCCAGAACCTAGCCAAAAAAAGCTGCTCCTCCTAACTACAGGTAAAACAACATTCTGAATAAGTTTAAATGTTTGAAAACTATATAAAAGTAATTTAGTAGACTGCTTTTTCTTAAAAAGAAAAATGTTTGATGAAATGTGTTCAAAGAGTAGATAGTTAACCAGTGTTCTTGGCAGAGCTGTAAAGTTATAGTACCTGACTGGTACATAGACAGGCCCTTTTCAGTAGGCAACGAACAAAAAGTAAAATAAAATTAATTTAAAAAATAGTAATTCCTTGACATCTGTATCAAAGAAAGTAAAGCTTTCCAAACATGAGATAGTTAAGAAAATTTTACTTCTAAAATGTGCTTCATTGCATTAGGATGTCTCTTGGTCACAGACAGGGTCCTACCGAGCAACCTCCCCGCTGCGCGACTTCCAGACAGTCACAAGGACAGCTCCAGCTTTTCCATCTCATCACTAATTCCGGAACATTAAATAACTTATGGAAACCACATGGCATTGCAGCTTATCAAGGCAGGGATGCTCATGTTGTTATTTCCTACTGAAAGGAATGTGTTGAGTCTACTTATTACAAAATAGCAGGGATATGCATTTGTCTCTTTAGAAGGAAGTATCTGCATTTAATCTGAAGTTCATCAGACTTTCTGGACAAGATCTCTGCCTAATGTAAGCCAGCCTAACTTACATGGGCCAAAAGATCTGCTTCAACACAGAAGGCAATTTTCAATTTCTTTACTCAGTGCAAAAATGTGTACTTTTTGTACCTGGGAAAACCAGTAGAAGATGTTTTTAAACAAAATACAGATCATTCTTTCATATATATATATATATATATATATATATATATATATATATATATCTTTCTTAAACTTAGCTTCCTAAAGAAAACAGAGCCTCTACAAAGTCAGCAGTTGAACATTACTCCCAGTGCACTCTTGATAATTAAAATTTCTGGGCTAACTTCAATCAAAATTGCGAAGGCTTCACAGTTCATGAAAACCACTGGGTAGATTAAGCAGGAAGTTAATAATGCCAATTAAGAGAAAAGGAAAATGGTCAACATTTATTCAACGCAGAACCTTTGTGAAGAAGCTAATTATGAACTCAGTTTAAAAAGAAAAGGGGAAAAAAAGGAAGAGATGAGGAAAAGAGACTGCACTTTTGACTTTATTTTATCGTGGCACTGTGCTATGTGAAGAGCTCTATTGCTTTTATATAAGGGATCTCGCCACCTTTAGTGCTTTCTCTCGAGACAGATTTCTTGGCTTAATAATCTTAGCTTCCAGGGGCCTGGAACATCTGCCCTATGAGCAAAGGCTGAGGGAGCTGGGTCTGTTCAGCCTGGAGAAGAGGAGGCTGAGGGGGGACCTGATCAGCGTGTATAAATACCTCAAGGGAGGCAGTGAGGAGGAGCGGGTTGGCTCTTCTCAGTGGTGGCCAGCGACAGGACTAGAGGAAATGGCTTCAAACTGAAGCATTGGAAGTTCCACAAGAACTTAAGAAAATGTTTCTTAACTGTGAGGGTGACAGAGCCCCGGAACAGGCTGCCCACAGAGGTTGTGGAGTCTCCTTCTTTGGAGATCTTTAAAACCCGCTTGGATGCAGCCCTGTGCCACGTGCTCTAGGTGACCCTGTGTGAGCAGGGGGGTTGGACTCGATGACCTCTGAGGTCCCTTCCAACCTTGGGCATTCTATGATTCTATGATCTTTAATGCCCCTGATTTGGGGAACAGCCTGGACACAAATGTGGGAAGACATTTCAGATATTAAAATCCAAAAGGCAAAGAGGAGCCCGGCGCTTCGCTTGCTGTCCTGCTCTGCGGGCTGGTCTTTCCCGCTGCCGGCGGCTCCGCAGAGGCCCGGAGCGCAGCGGGAATGCCGCTCGGGAGCAGGGGAGGGCAGGCGCTTACCTGTGGGGGTGCTGCTGCGAAAGGAGGAGGACGGCGTGATGGGGGGCGTGACGGGGGGAGTAAGGCTTCCACTGCTGTGGCGAGGTGGAGTGGATACATTCCCACGGGACACCGTGCTTGACAAGGTCAGGGAGAGCTTCGGCTGGAGCTTTTTCTTCAAAGATTCCTGCTCCCGTCGAGCTGCATCGGTCATAAACCTGGAACGAGGGTAATCACAAGGATGAGAGGTCTGACATGCTGACAGCAGGGCAAGGTTTAGGTACAGGCAAAACAAGTATTTTTCGCTCTCAGGGACTGAAGGGAGCTTCAAACTCAGCTGCGACAAGCTCTGCTGCAACACAGACATCTAGATTACAAACTCCTCCACCAACAGCTTATTCACACCGAATTCAAGATCTGGGGCATTTGCTTCCAATTTTGAGATAATTTATTTTAGACAACTGCATCATGCACACAGGTTTTTAAATCCCCAACCAGAGCTGAACACTGCAAAGAGTGTTACGGTGACTACTCCAAACCCTCAGGAAGAGGCAGGTGAGTAGCTACAGTGGGGACAAATGTTGGGGGCAAACTATGGCACCTGAAGGTCAGTCGAAGAGGTGATGGGAATTACACTGCCGGGCCGCGTTGTTTCCAGCTGAGCATAACCACAGCTTTTCTCAAGGGGTTTTGAGCACTGTTGCCCACCACAGAAGATGTCCAGGGACACCGTGATTCCTCACGCCTGAGCTCCCAGTTCTGGAAAACCAAATGCCACCTCTCAGCAGATCTGGGGTGGGCCAAGGCTCAGCACAAACTGAGGTTCATCTCTGCGGGATGCTAAGAGGAAATCCCACTAGGACAGTGCAAGGATTACAGCAGGAATTCTACCCAAGTTGCTTTTTCCATGGGATTTCTCAGTTAGATTATTAAAAAAAAAAAAAAAAAAAAAAAGCCTTTTTCATTTTTACTTTAATCTCTTGCAAACAAGAACAATTTTAGTGGAAAAGACCACGTAGGTGGTAACCGCGAGCCACGCCAGAGCACCTCACCCGGCACTCCCTGGCACAGCTCTCCAGGAATGGCGTGCACGGCCAAACCTCACCCCGCTCGCTGCACCCCAAACTTCAGCAAGGCCCTTGAATACACATACTCACAGGAATCTATTTCTTTTCTTTTTCTTTCTTTTTTAATAATGGAATCATTAACACAACTGACTTTCAAGGCGCCAGAGCTGGCACCTGCACCACCCTCATTTGCGAGGGCCGGGCACCTCCCGCAGCAAGGTCTCGGTGACACCCTCTCCCGGCACCCAGTGCTCAGAGGATGGGTCAGTGCTCCTTCGCCTCTCCTCTCTGCTGCCTGCTCCTACAGAGCACGAGCTGGAAGAAATCTCCTTGTCCGCACAGGCCTCTCTCCTTCAAATACAAGCTATTCCATGCTTTTATTTTACCCTGCAACACACGCTAGAATGTGTAATGTAAATAACGTCTTAGTTGCACCCAGACACTTGTCTCACTTAGATCAAAGTAAGTCTGGTTTTATAGCTAAGCCATAAGCTTTAAATTTGGGGCTCCTGTAACCCCAACAGCTTGTGAGGGGCACAGGCAGCTCCCCTGGAAACCTGCACAGCCCTTAACTCGGCACCAGCCCTCGCTGTGTGTCCGGACAGCCCCTAACCCGGGCTGCTCCATCGGCATTTAGCTCCTGAGGAAGAGGAGCAGACCGTGGGTGAAAGGAGACAGAGGAGAGACCTGCCACCTGGGTCACTCTTTAACTCTTGATGCTATCCAGAGGCACAGGCAGGAGCCTGGACAAGCTGATTCTTCTGTCCCACCTTTTGCGATGCGAGAAAAGAAAAAGGGGAAAAAAACAGGGAAAGGAGAAAGAAAGAAGAAAAGAGAAGAAGAAAGAAAGGTGTAAGGAGGCTTAATGTAACATCCCAAAACAGGGATGCTCTGACAAGGTCGGCACTGCCAGTGCTACTCAGATCTCAGTGGGTCTCTTGTATGCAACATATACATCTGCAAAATGGTGATGTCAGACAGACAGCCCCATTCCTTTCCTCCAGGGTATAGATATTATAGACAACACCCTCCCCAGATAGAAATTTAACTGAAGAAAAATGCAAGTAAAAGGAATTTCATAAAATGGACAGCCAGTACATACTTGATTTCTTTTAAATAGGAACCATCTACTTCACTTATTTTTGGAATTTGTACTACTATGTATGCCTGTTCCTGGACAGGAAGTCTTATTCCTTAAGAAAATATTATGGCAACATTAAAAATCCTTTAAAATGTGGATGATAACCTGAAGAGTGAGATGTTAACAGCAGCAGCATGAATACTTCTATTTAATAATCTCAGCCACAAATAACAGAGTTAAAATAATACTGAGGTATAAGCAGGCTGGCTGAAGTCCGTAAAACCCAGGAAAAATCAAAGTTACAGCTGAAACTTCTCTTGTCCCATTAACTCGCTCCCATGTGGGCTAAGCACATCGGATGTATTCCAGAATATTGCTTATTGTCTGCGCCACAAACACAAGGAAAACGGCAGAGGTGTCTCTGGACAAGCTAGGCTTCCAAGACCTCAAGCATGAAATGAACCCTTCCATGTGCAGAGAGCCCCTCCGTGCTTGGCAGGGCAATGCTCTGGGACAGAAAGCTGCCCTTGAGGTGTTTCTCAGCGTTTCGGTTTCCGTGCGCCCGCCGACGGCCGTGTTGGTCAAGGCTCCTCGTGGTGACACCTATGGAGCGACCTCACCAGGCACGGCTTCCGTGTGCGGGTTGGAAGCACCTCCTGCAACGCCAGAGGCTCCGCAGGAGCCACGAGGAAGGAAGGCCGAGCTGCGGCCCTGCACCTCCTCCTATGGGACAAGAAGAAGCCTTCGCAGCCCAGCCATTCCCTGGCCCTGTTGGGCTCCGCAGCTCCGTCACAGCCAGGGAGGAGCCCACTCCCTGTCAAAAATAAAAATAATAAAGCCTTCCCCGCCTCTCCCACCCCCACTTCTTCTTTCCTCCTCCTTTCACCTTCCCAATAATTCAGCTCCCTTCCCAATAACTCAGCTCCCTGCTCTGAAACACGTAGGTGCAATGATTTCTGAATCAAGCGCTTGCAGCAACTTTAATAAACATGAGTAAAATAGAGTGTTTCCCCCTCCTCTCATTGCCTGGAATGGTTCAAGTATTTTTATTGAAACTTTCCCAAGAAATTCCGCCTGAAGGAGACACCCAGCATGGAAAATTTCAGCCCAAACAGCTTAATGTTGGCAACATAATAAGCAACTGAAACAGTCTTATAATGGAAAGTGTTGCACAACCTGCAATATAGGTGGCAATATAATACAAACAGCATTAGCTGTTCTGACTAACACAAAGTCACACAAAGACCTGCAGAGGTGAAGGTCAACCCAAAACGTCTCTTAAAATGCCACCTTTGCAAAAATGGTAGGTTAAAATGAAAGAGAGGGAGGGAGAAGGGCAGCGGAACCAAGAAGGAACAGAAGTGGAGTGTCCCCCCTGGTCAATGCCCCCAGTTGTCCCATGCTCCCGGAACAGCCGGCGTGTTCCGACTGTTCGGGATCGCGCCCCAGGGGGACTCACGTGATGATGTCAGAGGCAGTTTATGGCAAAACTCCCATCACAGGCGGTTCTGCGGGAGCTTTACAGCACTCTGGAAAGGTCTGCGCTCATGCACCCAGCCTGAGGGCTGGCGGGTTATAAATAAATACATAAATAAATAGTTGGAGCTGAACTGAAAAGCTATACTTGAGAACTGGCTTAAAAGAAGCCAAAGAAGCAAACAACCCGCCCTTATTTAAGAGCATATATCCGTACGCCTGCAGCTCGCTGACGCAGCAGGTTAGTGCAGCCCGGGCCGCGTCTGTCCTCACGCTCACAGACCTTCATGCAAGGAGCGAAAGGAGCCGTCCCAGCTTCCTTGTTGCCTCACGATATTTATTTGTTCCATTCGGTTCCTTCATGATTTAATCTCTAAAGCACACGCCGACGGGAAGATGAAGCAACCCAAGCCTGCGGGTCCCCAAGGACGGCAGCCGCCGGCAGCGGCGCGGGCCCGGGGATTATCCCGAGCTTGCTGCAAGGTCCGGGACCGCTCCACAGTGCTGTCCTCTCGCACAGGAGCCTACAAAACCAGCACAGCTCCCGCACAGCAGCAGACCCCGGTCTTGGGCTCACGCTGGCAAGTTGTGCCAGGCCACCAGGCAGCAGAAATGAATCCTTGGGCCTCCTCTCACCATCCTAGAGGGCTGCGGAAAAGCATCGCTGGGCCGCCCAGCTCCCCTTCGCCCTAGCCCCACTTGGCGAGGCTGTACACAGAAAGGGCTGCCATCTGCTCCAAAGCATAAGCAAACGATGCTGCTGAGCTTCCTCCACTTGCATTTCGCCAGGCTTCTCCTCAAGCCAACAGCTGGTCCAATTAATTAAGTCTGAGCTGGCCACTGCTGCCAAGAGGAGAAGCACTCCGTGGTGCTTGATAGCAGATTTGCGCTTCTTTATGGCAAAAATGGTCAAACTTGCTTTACAGATGGGCCACATACTAGTTCAACTATTAAAGGCCACCTATTCATTCTCCTGCTCCTCAGTGCCACTGTCAGAGCAAAATGCTGGTTTTATCTGCTTCCCCCTCCAATCTTTCTTCCATTTTTGCCTTGAGATGTTTCTACATTTTTTTTCTGTCATTTCTGTATCAAGAGGAAGAAGCAATTTACGATAGCAGGTTTAGCTTCCAAACCTCCTCATCACATTAGCAGTTTTATGAGGGAAACCAAAGGACTATGCTAGCAGCACCTCTAGTTGTACAGTATGTGAAAGTCACAGGAGGCCTCTATGTTGAGTAGGATGCTGGTGGATCCATTTTCAAGGCAGGACCCTAATTTTGGCAGCTTGGGATTACCGAGCAACAAGAAGATGCCCAACAACTTGGCTGGGTATTCATGTGATAATGAGCAAAGAAATCCATGAGCCAGTTTCCTACCCCTCCTCAACTGGAATTGCTCCTTGAGCAGCCCAGAGCAATTCCACATGCAGAGGCTCTTGCCTCTTCTCCTGCTCCTTCCTTCCTGCTCCTTCCTTCCTGCAGAGGACTTCCAGGGGCGGCAGAAGAGCTCCAGCAGTGTCTCCAGGCTCCTGTGTGGAGTGGTGCACGTAATCATACGTGCTTCCCCACACTATTGACATTATGGAGCATTAGCT